CAGCAAATCATGACCCACATGGATGTGGCCCTCTGTCTCTGCTGGTTGTGCCTTTTGAGGCGCCCCATTCTCTCCGCCTAGGATTGCTCTCACCAATCCCAGCCCTACGAACTGTTAGCCTCTTTAGTGCAAAGTAACTTACTCTCCACACGGGACTATACCTATAAAAATTGCAGTTTGAGGTCCCAGACACACCCAACCAGCAAATGATGCCCGTTATCTAATAAAATGATTTTCAATGCTGACTATACAATAGAATCACCTGGCAGGCTTTAAAAACAAACAAACAACAAGAAGAACAAAACCTGGAGCTCCATCCTAAGAAACTGTTTATTGGCCCAGAGTATCACTCTTTTCCAAAAGCACCCTGATGATCCTGTGACTTCATCACCCCTGGTCCAGTATGGTATCCTGCCACTTCCACCAGGAGCATGCTCAGTGCCTCTAGGTTCATCATTGCCATTTGCCCTCAGGCCTCTCCCAAAGCTGCAGCTTTGTAGTCTACACTAGGACCTTAACCAGCCAGTCCGGTACCTTGCAGGCTCACTCACTGACGCTGCCAAAGCCCTGCCTGATGGAGAGCAAAAGGTAGACGGCAGCCTGAACTCCACATGCCTGGTTCGCCTGTGTTCCGCCATATCTTCTCCATGGGTAACGTGGCTTTTTTCACAAGATGGAAACCACCCCCGTACATTCCCAGCCCTTTCTTCCTCCCTGACCTGCCAGGCTATAGCCACAGAGACGAGTGACCTAATCACTGCACATGGCCACCACATCCAGGTCCTCATTCCCTTCAGGTGTCAATAATGAAAGAGGATGGAGAAGGGGGAACGTCTCTTCTAATTCCTGATGAATTCAGAAGTCCTGAACTGCTTCCGTAGTAGCCATCCATTCCACGCGATATTGCTTGTTACTCGCTCCTCCACTAAACTACAAGCACTGCAAAAACTGGAGCAGCGCCTGGTCCTTAGTAGGTGCTCCCTGAATGTGTGATTGATAACTGAATGAGCAAATGAATGACAAGCTGGAGAAGAGGAGCTGTTGCATGATCGGAGTGGAAAAGATGAAGCGATGGCCTCGCTGTTCAAGCCCATATGGAACACACATATGGAACCACACGCAGAGGATCAGAGGAGCAGAACTCACAATTTTAACCTGAAAACTCAACATTTGTTCTTTTTCATCTCTCTAATGATTAGCGACCTTGAGCAGGTTTTCATATGTCTCTTGGCCTTCCTTCTGTCTTCTTTCGAAAAGTATCTATTTAGGTCAGTTGCCCTTTTTTAAAAAATATATATATATATTTGATTGATTTTTTACAGAGAGGAAGGAAAGGGGAAGGATAGAGAGTTAGAAACATCTATGAGAGAGAATCATCGATCAGCTGCCTCTTGCACACCCCCCACTGGGGATGTGCCCGCAACCAAGGTACATGCCCTTGCCCGGAATCGAACCCAGGACCTTTCAGTCCGCAGGCCGACACTCTATCCACTGGGCCAAACCAGTCCCGGTGAGTTGCCCATTTTTTGATTAGGTTGTTTATCTTTTTGTTAAGTAACGCTTGTTCTTTTTCATTACTTGAGCACAACTTTGCTTTCTTCTTCAAGGCACCTAACCTTTTCTTACGTCTTTATACTCCGTCTCTGGTTTTCTTCTTAGACCCCACACAGCAGCGCCCTGCTTGCCCTTGTCTTCCCCATTTCCAGCTTCTGCAGCCCATCCTCTGTCCTCCTCACAGCAACTGGGGGTACCCTTCCCAGCTCTACCGCATAGTTTAAGGGAGATTAGGTAAATGCGCAGCAAGTCCTTGCTTACTCTTTTTCAGACTTCTTCAGTGTTGTGAAAGTACTGAGCACTAAGACTGCTTATCCACAAGGCATTTTGAGTGATGGCATGTTTATCTTAGAATTCCACCCTCAATGGTAATTGTACTGACACAAATGGGAGAAAGAAGCCAAGGTGTTTCAATAATCATATGGTGCCAGAGGCTGTGCTGCCAGCACATGACTCGGGCCGCTGAGCCCGGTGCCTCTGTTCTTAAGGACTGGGTAGAAAGAGAAATATCGAGAACAGGATGAAGAGCAGCTCACTCTAGGTAACTTGGTACCTTTTGAAATACTGATGCATTCTTGCTGTTCAGCATTAATTACCATTAAGGATTCCCTCTGTGGCTGTAAGGAGTATAGGATCTGAAGTGTGAACAGCCATTTGAATCTCTGCAAAGGCACTGGAGAAGATGGAGAAGATTGGCAGGGTCAGGAGTATGGGGACCCGTTTATGTGAGTTGTTTCAAAGACTACTGAGTCCCAGTCCAGCAGCATCTAGTCACCCTACATGCCGATACCTTTATGCTTTTGGCTTAAGAAAATATTTTTCAAAATATTGTCCATGGACTACCTGCTTTGGAACAGTATAGTGGTGGACACACACTAAAATGAAGAAGCTAGAAAATAGTTAATTTGGGAAAATGAGGGCCAGGCAGGAGTCCACCTCTAGGGGAGGACTACTCCATGCTCTGGCCTTTTACCATTCCTTTTATTGAGATTCTGAGACAAAGACATCTCTTAGACAGAAAATTCCAACAACAGAAAATCAACAATAATTTACATATGATTGACAAAGTTGCCTCAACTACCTAGAGCTCCCACCATTCAGAGCCATCAAGGTTGGCCAGCTCTTTTTACATTTTACTACCAGGGAACAATGTTTGGTTTTGGTTAGCCAGCTCTTTTTACATTTTACCACTAGTGACTCAAACTAGAGTCAATGAGTTAATAGCTTCGGCCATTCAGAGCCATCAAGGTTGGCCAGTTCCCTTTACATTTTATTACCAGTGACAAAGTTCGGTTTCGGTTTCTGGCAGAAGCTAAGGAGAAAGTAAACAAACGGGATTACATCAAAATAAAAAGCTTCTGCCCAGCAAAAGAAACCTTCAGCAAAACCACAAGAAAGCCCACTGCATGGGAGAACATATTTGCCAATGTTATCACCGATAAGGGTTTAATCTCCAACATTTATTCTCAAACATACAACTTAACAAAAGGAAGATAAACAACCCAATCAAAATGTGGGCAAAGGACCTAAATAGACACTTTTCAAAAGAGGACATACAAAAGGCCAAGAGACATATGAAAACATGCTAATTATCTGAGAGATGCAAATCAAAACGACAATGAGGTACCAAATCACACCTGTCAAAATGGCTATCATCAAGAAATCAACAAATGACGAGTGCTGGCAAGAGTGCGGAGAAAAAGAAACCCTCCTGCACTGCTGGTGGGAATGCAGACCGGCACAGCCACTGTGGAGGACAGTATAGCATTTTCTCAAAACACTGAAAATGGAACTCCCATTGGACCCAGTGATCCCACTTCTAGGAATATATCCCAAGAAACTAGAAACACCAATCAGAAGGACATATACACGCCTATGTTCATAGCAGCACAATTTACAATAGCTAAGATTTAGAAACAGCCTAAGTGCAGGTGAGTGGATTAAAAACCTGTGGTACATAAGTGAAATACTACATTGATGTATTATAGAAAGGAAGGAACGCCTACCGTTTGTAACAGCATGGATGGACCTGGAGAGCATTATGCTAAGCGAAATCAGTCAGTTGGAGAAAGATAAATATCACATGATCTCACTCATTTCTGGAATATAATAAACAACATAAACTGATGAACAAAAACAGATCCAGAGACAGAGAAGCATCGATCAGACTGTCAAAACTTGGAGGGAAGGTAGGGAAGGGAGGGGTAGAGATCAATTGACACAGACACTAGGAGGGTGAAGGCATGAGCAGGTGGAGAGGCAATGGGGGTAAGGGGTAAAGACACATATGTAATACCTTATACCTTAATCAATAAAGAAAACACACACACACACACACACACACACACACACACACACACTCATATATATATATATATATATATATATTTTATTATTTTTTTTTTTTAAAGGAAGAAGTTAGGTAGACAGGTAAGGGTGGGGGAGCTTTTGAGGAGGAAATAAAGGTGGGGCCAGGAGTTGGTGGGAAATGGAGCATGTTCCCAACAGGGTGACCTGCACAACCAAAGGTATGAGGAATGGAGAAAAAGAATCAGTGATCCTGGGTAAGTAGACATGATCCAGATTGGGGAGACATATGGATGTCTTCATAACTTCAAAGTCCTTTTTTTGCTAGACATCTAGAAGAATCCCTTCAAATTCATTCAAGTTTATGGTCTCAAACTGTTGATTGCAGTTGCTCCAAAAACATATTACAACCAGTTTATAGGTTCTTTCTGGGACATTGTGTGTTCAATTTCCATAACTAACAAGTTGGCAATAATATAAAAAATTGTTTAATATACCCCTGTCCGGATGGCTCAGTTAGTTAAAACATTATCCCATATACCAAAAGGTTTCAGGTTCAATTCCCGGTCAAAGCACATATCTAGGTTGTGGGTTTGATACCTGGTTGGGTTGTGTATGAGATGCAATCAATGTTTCTCTCATGTAGATCTCTCTCTCCCCCTACCCTTCCTCTCTTTCTGAAAAATCAATAAAAGCATATCCTTGGATGAGGATAAAAAAATGTTAAATATAGATTTGAGAATTTTTTGACTGTCATTGGAAACATACATGAAAAATAGGAATGTTAATCACCTCTTGAAAGGGATATTGAGAACAGAAGTAGGAGAAATTTACCTCTCACTGTATACCCTTTTATGCTGTTTGAATTGTTTACATGAATATTTATTGCCTATCCAAACAAGTTTAAAAGAGAACTAAAGAGATACATTTATTTCATAGCATAAAGAAGTTGTGTGTCAACATGTGGTAATTTAATTTTTATTTAAAACCAAATTAACGTTGCCACAGTGACAGAAATAGTATTTTTAGTTTTGTTTTTCACAGCTTGAGAAAAATCATGGGATTGGGCAAATACAAATTTTGTATATCCCCTATAAAACCGGCCTCTTTTTTTTTTTTTTTTTTTTTTTTTTTTCCAGTTTGCAGCACATCTTGTGAAGATGAAATATCCAAGAATCTGTATTCTAGATGGTGGCATTAATAAGATCAAGCCAACAGGCCTCCTCACCGTCCCCTCTCCTCAAATATGAAGAGCCCAGAGGATGACCGTCAAAAGGACGGAGAGGCATCAGCTCCCAGCAGCACAGCCCAGCCCCTCACAGCCTGGCCACTCTAAGACAGAAGTCGGCTTCCTGAGTGTTACCTTTCCATAGTGCTGTCAGGAGACTTTTTTTTTTTTTTTAATCTCATGACCCAGATATTCAACTACCAAGCAACAAACTTGACTGAACATGTGTTGAAAGAATTTTCTTAACAGTGAAATCTGATCATGTATTTTTAGCACATTGCGACAATAAGCCAGAGGAATTGGCTGACAAGGCAGATTTGGCATTATCAAGAAATCTTACTTGCACTAAAAGAGCTGTCTCCCATCGCACTGAAGAGACAGCCCTAACAAGGGCATTTGGAAATATAGGTTGAATGTGAGCTGAAATCATCGTTCCATGGTAATGAAAAGTGAAAGGCTGTTCATAATGCATTCCTTATAAGTAAATGCTGCATTTGGTAACTCATTTTTGGCCCAGACAAGTTGTGTGTGTGTGTGTGTGTGTGTGTGTGTGTGTGTGTGTGTGCATGTTTAGAGGAAAAAGAATGTAGCTCATTGAAGAAAGTAATAATAATCTACTTACCAAAAAAAATGAAAGAATGAAACCTTTCAAATTAGGTAAAATATTTGTTCGGCTTCTGTAGCAGAAAACCCCAAATAAGAGTGAGTTAAACGAACTAGAACTTTCTTGCTTAGTCAGTCTAGGGATAGTATACTTTTTCATAATCACTCAAGTGTCTTTTCTCATTGTTTTACCACCCCCAACACACTGTTACCATCTCATGGATCAAGATGGGTGCTCAGCTCTCACCATCACATCTGCATTTTAGAAGGAAGAAAGGAAGGAAAAAAAATATGGAGGGGAGAAAGAAGGAAGGAAGAAAATATGAAAAAGAAGGGGAAATGTGCTTCTCTAATAACAAAAACCAGAAGTTGCACATGTTACTTCCACTTATATACCATTGGCCAGAACTTAGATATATGGCCACACCTACCTATAAGGAAAACTAGGAATATAGTCTAACTCTGTGGTTGGGAAACTGTGGCTCACAAGCCACATGCGGCTCTTTGGCCCCTTGAGTGTGGCTCTTCCACAAAATACCACAGCCTGGGTAAGTCTATTTTGAAGAAGTGGCGTTAAAAGAAGTTTAAGTTTAAAAAATGTGGCTCTCGAAAGAAATTTCAATCGTTGTACTGTTGATATTTGGCTCTATTGACTAATGAGTTTGCTGACCACTGATCTAACTAAAACATGTTCTTTCATCTTTAACTTATGTTCCTCTTTAGTGTTAGAACTACCTATGCACAATATTTTAATAAGAGCCTCACTTCAACTTTCTGGGCATGGTTTTATTGTTGCTGTTTTTATTGAGTTTCTGTATTTTTTTTTTTATTGAGATAATTTACATACCATAAAATTCACTTTTTAAAACGTACAACTCAGTGTTTTTTAGTATGTTCACAAAATTGTGCAACCACCAAATTCCAATGCATTTCCATCACCCCAATAAAGAAAACCTGTACCTATTAGCAGTCATTCCCCCTTAACCCTTTCCAAGGTCTTCGATTTAATTTTTGTATATAAAGTGCAATTGATTTCCAACTTTAATCTTGCATGTGGGTATCAAGTTGCCCCGTAGGCCATTTCATTTTGTTTGTTTTTCTCAATTAAATTATAGTAATTCACCAAATATGTTTTGATATCTACTAGTAGTATATGCAAGACACTGACATAACTAATAATTATTCTGAGATATCCTACATTATATACAAATAAAAATTGTAAGAATAAATGAGAAAACAAAATTTTGCCACAGTTTCTCTAACATCATTTTTGGACTGTCATCTTCCCTGGTTAGAGAAGTGTTAAATCCTCTTATCCTTTCCTTCCATCTTTGATGACTTCTGTGGCTTCATGGTCATAAGGCAGCACTGGTGATCATTTAGAAAGAGGGTCTGAGTCCTAACTTAGCCTTACTGGAGAAGCAGAAGGATAGAGGGGTGGGAATTTGGATTACATGGGTGGAAGGTAGTGAGAGAGAATTAAAGACCCTGTGCTGGAGGAGAGCTGTGTGAGAAGATAATAGTAACTAACCATCACAACTTTGCATTTGATCTTTCTTAAAACTTGATACGTGCTGAAAAAAATGGAAGGTTACTAAACATTCATATTATAAAAAACATTTAATATTCTCAACAGTAAAATAAGAAATAGCATAAACTCACTGCCAGGTGTACATACAGAGCATGGTATTTGATAACAGATGGTTTCAACAATATTGACTGACCTCAACAATTATTTGTTGAATTAAACTGTATAAACAATTTATAGAGTTAATTATAATTATATTATTGACTTCTACACTATCATTGTCACTGTTTTTTGTTATTTTTCTAGCATTGGCAGTCTCTTCTTCCTGGAATGCCCTTAAGACCTTTACTAGCCCCATAAACACACACACCCTGTCTCCCTTTTCATAATTCTTCATCAGCAGCATCTCCTCTAGACGCAGACTTTCCCATGCTACCTTAAGTGCCTCAAATCTGTCAAAGTGTTTCATTTATCCTAGTAATAATAGACTTATTACATTATTTTGCAATTATCTGTTCACATTTGGGCCTGATATTAAAATATGAGCTCCTTTAAGGTCAGAGACCATAATGTACAATTCTTTGTTCTTTTCACCAACCATTGCATTGGAGATGCTTGATAAATGTAAAAGTGAATTGAATGGAATCTCTAGCTTTGGGATTTTAGGATCTCTTATAAATAGAAAAATATTAAAGCAACCCAGGTAATTTTTTTCAAGTGTCAAACTTACCTGGTATCTAATGAAGAAAAATAAATTAAAACTCAATTCACTGAGTGAAGAAAGGATCTCTAATGTACCACCCAGCTCTAACATGTTATAATCCTAGAAGTTGAAACAGATAACTTCCAGCAACAGGGTAGGCTAAACTAGTTGCATCCCTTTCCCAAAACAAAGAAATTCCAAATTAAAAAATAATATTAAAAATATTACCAAAGTTGAAAAAAATCAGAAATTCCTTGATGTCAGATCAAAAGAGAAACTGACACACTATCAGGCCCATAGGATAACCGATATTAATATAAGACCTTGAAAACTGAGGTTTTAACATGCACAGGGGCCTGGAAGACACAGCCATGAGCCTTGAGTTGGTATTAGGACCACAATGTGACAGTCTCAAAGAACTCTGTTCCTTGAAATGACTAGAAATAACTTCCCACCAAATCGGGAAGCTACAAGGGGAGGTTGTCCTGGTCTGGTATTCTGAGTGACGGAATTCAGATCTGATGTAGACAGATGGAGGTATTCAATGGAAAGGCTGAGGTAAGTCTCCGGATTGGAACAGGCTTTAGGGCATGTGTTCATCTATTTAAAAATGAGCACAGTGAGTTACATCAAACGTGTGGAAAGCGTAGATGGTGCCAGATCTTGTTTGACTCCTCTCTTTACTCCTCCCAATAATTACAAAAAACAATAATATGGCGCATCCTCTCTAATGGATCTTACACAGTGGTCTCACTCGGCCAAATCCACTCTAAGGGGAGATGACAGCTGTAGGGTGAGGAGTGTTTCCTTCTATCAGAGTCATAGTGCTCCCACTGGTATACATGCTGGCTTTACAAATGCCTGTTGCTAACCAAATAATGCAGTTTTACATGAATAAACATTAAGTAAGCCAAAGAGTGGAAGCAAATGATTGTATCTGAAATATATTTTTGGTGTGTATTTAAACAAAGACCCTTCACAACTGCCAATTTAGATATTATATGGAAGAGCAACAGAGAAATGTTACAACCTTAACTGACAAACACTAGCAATTTAACATATGCAGTTGTTCTCACACAATCTTTAGGTTTTGCAATCCAGTTTTATCTCATTTATTATTAGAAACTAGATGCCTGGTGCATCAAATTCTTGCACTCTGGGGGCAGGGGTCCCCTCAGACTGGCCTGTGACCTCTTACAGTCCAGGAGCTCAGCAATGGATCACCCCACAGAGGTAGGCCCTGCCCCCCCACCACCACCACCACCACAGTGCTGCTGCAGGGTAGCCTGGGCCTCCCTCTTTGGGGCAATCATGGACCCACCCCCTGATTAATCCATCTCCTTGCTGTTTGGCCATTCGGTCAATTTGCATATTACACTTTTATTATTATAGATAGTAAATATTATAAATACGCTATTTAAAAAGTTAGCTACCCAATCTTGAAAAAGAAGAACAAAGTAGGAGGGATCACAATACCAGATATAAGGATATATTACAAAGCCACTGTTCTCAAAACTGCCTGGTACTGGCGCAAGAATAGATATATAGACCAGTGGAACAGAACAGAGAATCCAGAAATCAACCCAAGCCATTTTGCTCAGTTAATATTTGACAAAGGAGGCAAGAACATACAATGGAGTCAAGACAGTCTCTTCAATAAATAATGTTGGGAAAATTTGACAGATACATGCAAAAAAAAAAATGAAACTAGATCACCAACTTACACCATTCACAAAAATAAACTCAAAATGTATAAAGGGCTTAAACGTAAGATGGGTAATCATAATAATACTAGAGGAATCCACAGGCAACAAAATGTCAGACATTTGTCATAGCAATATCTTTACTGATACAGCTCTTAGGGCAATGGAAACTAAAGAGAAAATAAACAAATGGGACTACATCAAAATAAAAAGCTTCTGCATAACAAAAGAAACCATCAACAAGACAAGAAATCCCACTGCATAGGAAAACATATGTGACAGTGTTATCTCCAATAAGAGATTAATCTCCAAAATTTATAGAGAACTCCTACAACTTAACAAAAGGAAGACAATCTAATCAAAAAATGGGCAAAGGACCAAAATAGTATGGAGTCAAAAAATTAAAAATAGAATATCCATTTGACCCCATAATCCCACTTTTAGTACTATATTCCAAGAAAACAGAAACACCAATCAGAAAGGATATATGTACCCCTATGTTCAAAGCAGCACAATTTACAATAGCTAAGATTTGGACACAGCCTAAGTGCCCATCAGCAGATGAGTGGATTAGAAAACTGTGGTACATCTACACAATGGAATACTACACTGCGGTAAAAAAAGAAATAATTCTTACCATTTGCAACAGCATGGATGAGCATCATCCTAAATGAAATAAGCCAGTCAGAGAAAGATAAATATCATATGATCTCACTCATTTGTGGAATATAATAAACAACATAAACTGATTAACAAAAACAGAACCAGGGTCATAAAAACATTGAATAGACTGTCCAACCTATGAAGGAAGGCAGGGGGTGAAGGGGTAAGAGATCAACCAAAGGACTTGTATGCATGCATATGAGCATAACCAATTAGCACAAATGGGGGAGAGGGGCGGTGAGGGCATGTGCTGGTGGTTAGGGGTGGCTGAGGAGAGGTCAATGGGGAGAAAAGGAGACTTATGTAATACATTAAACAATAAAGAACAAAATTTTTATTTTAAAATATATTTTATTGATTTTTTTACAGAGAGGATGGGAAAGGGATAGAAACATTGATGAGAGAGAAACATTAATCAGCTGCCTCCTGCACACCCCCTACCTGGGATGTGTTCACAACCAAGGTACATGCCCTTGACTGGAATAGAACCTGGGACCCTTGAGTCCACAGACCGACGCTCTATCCACTGAGCCAAACCAGTCAGGGCAAGAACTTCATTTTTTTTTTTTTAAAGTAGATGAAGGTTTATAGTCTGATTTTTTTAAAAAAAATGTTAGCTATCCTTTTTAAAAGTTACATGCATTTTATATTTTCTGAGTAATTTTCTTGTTACTAATGGGAAACAAAAATAAGTTTCTAGGATTAATAAAAAAATTAACATATGGATTATCTCAGGTGGTAATGTTTTAACTTGCAATTCCATTGTTACAGTTTTTAAGAATAGAATATGTACTATTTTTTTTTTAAGTTACAGATATATACAAGGACAGTCAGTAATATTTTCAAAAGTTGAATCTTTTAGTGTGGCAGAAAGCAATATTTAGAAATATGATCTAATGCTGTAAATGCATTTGTTATAGCTCCCAAATTAGTCTTAAGCCAAGACAGGGCAGTGTTTAACCTTCACTGCCCAGGGAATTGATAATGGCAATACAGTGCCCTGGTACCCATCTACACATGGTTTATCGGTCACAGTGAGCATTAGAATAGAACAGCGTTATTGAAATGCTGCAGATAATGTAAACTAAAAATGGGTCCTGTGAAAGGAACGAGAAAGTATATTACAGAATGCCAATCTAAGAGGAGAAATTAAGCCTTAAGCTATAAATATCACAATCTAACTATGGAATCCTAAATTTTCCAAGATCCAAGTTTACACTTCCTGTGACACACAACAACTCTATTAGCATAGTTTTCAGTTCTTTGAGGTAGACTAATTTAGTATTTTAAGGCATATGTTGTGTTGGAACTGGCTCCTAGTGGTTGGGAGAGCTGACTGTACCCATTTGTTTATTTCTCTGTTTTGAAA